TGTATATATGTATGTATGTATGTATATATGTATGTATGTATGTATATATGTATGTATGTATGTATATATGTATGTATGTATGTATATATGTATGTATGTATGTATATATGTATGTATGTATGTATATATGTATGTATGTATGTATATATGTATGTATGTATGTATATATGTATGTATGTATGTATAATATTTGTGTGTGTGACCATGCAATAAGCTAACATATATATTTTTCCTGGAACATAAGCATCGTGCAATAATCTGACATCTTCTTAAACTAGACTATTATGCAACTGTATTTAACATGCATACTTCGCGACTAACGATATGAAGAATCAAATCTATATGCATTGACATAAGATATAAAAATAAAAAAATTGCAAGTATTAATATATTTAAAAATAAAAAAGCATTGTTGTAATTTTAAAAACATAATTACTCACCCATTTATCACGTTAAATTTTCATTTTTTAATAATCAGCTTGATGTCGCAATAATCTCTATGTTGATATTAATAAACTATAAAACAAAATATCAAACTTTTAAGATTCAAGTAAGTTTATATTATTCGAATATATGCATTTGTATTCATTACTCTCTTTAATAATTAAGTTAATATGTTAAAGCTTTGGTTCTGATTTATCTATATGCAACTAAATATGGAATCATTATTTAATACTTTTAATTAAAATAATTTATATAATTATAAACATATGCACATAACCTTACCTGCACATTCGATGCTGTCAAAACCTTCTCATTCTAATCTTTTAATTTAAAGGTTTGTCCAGATTTAATCTTTGCTAATAATTCACAAGATATTTTATAACTTTATAACATCTAATTAAATAAAAATATATCTTTTATAATTAAAAATATAAACTGACTTACCTTAAGCTCGGCGTGTTTCGTCCCCAAGTCAACGGTCGATTTATCGCTTAAGTGCCTATTCAATTTATATTAATATTCATATTATTAATAATATTATTATTTATAATTCCAGTTATTACAAAGTCTGTTTGATCTGGTTAGAATAATTATGACCTGGCTTTTGTTCAATAATCTAAGCGCTATTTCAACCTGCAAGGTTATTTCTCTTAGGCATATTTTATCCAGATAGGATATTTTTTAAACAGAGAGGGCAATCATCATTATTATCCTTTTGCAAAGTTTTTGCTGTTTCTTTAGCTTCATTCTCAATTTATTTGCAAGGTTTTTTCTCTTAGGCTCATTAACACTAGTTTCTTGGCTGTTTCAAAGATTATCTTTGCTTTTTTTCTCCTCAGGATATTTTGGTTGATCTTTCAATTCAAAATATAGATAATCAGAGTTCTAGGCATGAACATTTTCTTCTGAAAACTGAAGATCCTTTTTCTGCTTCTGGCCCACTTTTTGCTTCAAGTGTTGAATCCATGACTTCTGGCCTTGAAGACTATATTCTTAAGCATAGAGGCAGTGAGGAAATAGCTTGCTCTGTTAGAGGGTAAACTTATTAAACCAAGACTATTTTGTTTGTTAACTAGTCTCTTTTATAAATTCCCTTCAGCAAACCTTAATTGGTTTAAATGATAATTGTCCCAAAGTGAGCCTAATGCGGGTTAATTGGATTTATATCCGTTTTTTATCTACTGATCTGTTGTAGAGAAGATATGAAGGTTGGAATGGGACATGCAAGCCGTTTAAGAACTGCTAGAAATGCGGGACAAGTTTTTGACGTGGCAATTGTGATAGTACCGGCAACGACAGTGCCTTGTTGTTCAAGGGCAAGTTCTCAAACCACAGAGGTTTGCTTCAATTTGTGCAACCCCTTCTATTCTCAGTAGCTACAATTGTCAAAGTAACAAATTGGAATCTTCCGCTAGTATAATTTTTATTTGGGCATTTAATATTCAATGTTATCCTTTTAGTGAAACAATTAAGTTAATTTTTGAAGCTGTTATTAATCCTTACTTTTGCATGTATTATATCTACATGGTTTTTTATCTTAGTTGAGACGGTATTCTCTGGAAAGGAAAGTACTTGCATTTCTATAAAGCAATTCATCCCCATTATCTTTTCAGCAACAAATTAACTTTCAGCCAGTAACAGCAGCTCTGCATATCAAGTTTAAGCATTCCCCTGGAAGAAAAAACAAGTATCTGTAAAGCTTAGTTTCAATGATTTGGATTAGAGTTGTAGCCGTTGCTTTAAAATGGTAACCACGTAAAGAAAAACTGAAAAAAAAAACATCAGAGTATTACAGCATTTTGTGGATTTTAATATGCTCCTAGTCGAATGACATTAAAAAACCAACATTCTTACTACGCCAAAGCCTTACACAAAGTTTTATGGTACAGGTATTATTTCTTGATTTGGTTTTTTATAATCAAGCATATCGCAGGTGCTGTACTACCAAAATTTTTCACCCACTTCAATCTCCAAGTTTGCTTTGAGTTCATTGGAAGGCATAAAATGGCAAGCTTATGGTTTGAAATTGAAGGAGATTGTAGTTGACGGAGATGGTCAGGCTGTGCTTCAGTGGGAGGATTTACCATTAGCTCACATTGACATTGCTATTCATAGCTTCTTCATGAATTGTCCTTCTCCAGAAGATCATCTTAATGGTATGTCATCACAAAGTCATTTATTTATTTATTTATTGTCATATCATCTAATTAATTAAAATCACTAATATATACCTGTGCCACTGGATCATAGGTTTTAAACTATTTGTGTTATATTTCAATTCTTATGATACTATTAAACAAAACATCTCCTACAATCTCTTATTTAAATATTTATATTGCACTATCTACTATGTTAATCTCAAAAGATTAGTAATGTTGGTCTGTTGGGTTTGCTAATGACAATCATTCATTCAAATTGTTGTTAATTTCACTTTATGATGTATTAATACTTGTAATGTTTCCATCTATCAAAAATGTATAGTATTTTGATTTTATGTAAAATAAGAATATATGATTTTCAGATACATTTATTATTTTTTAAATGCATTAAATAGAAAATTCATTTCTGTTAGTACCAATTAATTATGTTATTATTTTTTATTCAATTAATTTAGTATATTAGTATGGGTTAATAGAAATAAATGTTGTACTAATATTTAAAAATGGTTGGATGATATATTACTAAATGTGAAATTTTTAGTGGTACCTCAAAAGCTTTTCTTACAAGTGTGTTAATTCTCTCATGCAATCTTTAATGCTTTTCCAGGCACGGTACTGCCAACAAGCCAAGAGACAACGGATATGAAGCTTCTCAGAAAAGCAGTTAAGACTGCACTTGATGATTTGAAGAACAAATATACAGAGCTTTTCCTCAGCTCGCATTCTCGAAAGGTTTTACATATTTTTTCCTTTATGTCCTACTGAATATTTTCTTTCTCTTAAGAAAATCTTTGGCGCTGCTGGTTTGCAAGATTTAACTAATATTTATTCAACATTTCGGTTCAATTTTAGGGATAAATACATACAAACCACCCAAAACATAGATTTTTACAAATTAACGCGTGCTAATATCAAACTATTGATAATTTGATAAAAATGAAAAATATGGGTGGGTTTTACCATGAATTTTTATATTTGAGTGAGAATTTGACAAAATGGATGAAAGGTGGTTGATTTTTAAATAACAAGTTTCGGGTGGTCTGTACTCAGTTTTATCGGAGTTTTTAAAGTTCACAAAATTCTTATCTTCATTTTAAACATCATATTTCTCTCTTTCAGATTAAATTTTTATTCGAGTAAATCATATGGGAAGTAGTATTCAAAAGATATACATAATTTCTTTTCATAGTTTTACTTCTCTTCCTGCATTGAACTTAATCATATATTTAATTTCTTCGTAACTTAATTTTGTATTTAGTTTATGTGCTAAATCCTACCTCAATTAAATTCTATTTGCATCCAAACAGACTCTTTTCAAGTTCCTCAAAAAACTCCATGGCATTAAGATTTCCTCGATCTAGCATAATTACTAATCTACAAATCTATCAATCCAGATCCAGAAGCATGCACCAGACCTTTCAAGATCCATTGCCAGTCTCATAGCCTCATCCAACGATCAGGAATTCCAAGCTGAATGTGCATCTCTTCTGGGCCTAAACTCAAAGGATTCTGACACAAAGATGTTACAGATTTGCATCCAAGAAAAGCTCATGAAAATTATAAGCATGAATGATTTGAAAAAGGGCAAGGGCGCGGGCGCGGCGGATTTGGCTCCCAACCTCTTTGAATGTGAGCCTTTGGATTTGCATCCAAGAAAAGCTCATGAAAATTATAAGTATGAATGATTTGAAAAAGGGCAAGGGCGCGGCAGATTTGGCTCCCAACCTCTTTGAATGTGAGCCTTTGTATGACGAAGACTGCCTGGAAGATGACGAAGGTGGTCGTGATGATGATGTTGGCTTTTTGGACATATGGGATTGAGCATCTTCGTTGATTTTGAGGATAATTGAAATGGACATCCAAAATGATACCACATGTTATGTGTTTTTTTCTCTTTCATAAAAATAGGCTACTCCATTAAATTTTACAAATTATATCAGTTATATATCTTGATAGTTATACAACACGCATCAAATTAAAAAAAGTAAATTTACATACATTCTGAACTTTCTATGTATTTACATATCTAATAGCTAAGTGTATTTCACTTTTTAAAGTTAGTAATAGTTGAGGCTAAAGACTTGTGTTGTGAGTATCAATAGTCTTCTCCCAATCCATCCTTTCGGTACAATTGCCGCCTCGGTTCGAGCGTGCGATCACCTGGGTTCGGTCTGCCATCCTAGTCTAATAACCCTATCCCTTTGGTATGATTGCCACTCAGGATTGATTGTTCGATCACTTGGGTTTGATCGGTCGTTCCGGTTTGATCTCTCTTCCTTTGGTATGATCGCTAATCCAGATCGATCTTTTGATCACTTGGGTTCGATCGGAAGTCTCGGTCTGATCACCCTATCCCTTTGATACGATCGTCATCCTGGCTTGGTCGTCTGATCACTTGGATTCTATAGACCGTCCTGGTATGATGACCATATCCTTTCAGTACAATCGCTGCCCCGACTCGATCATCTGATCACATAAATTCGATCATTCGTTCTGGTCCAAATCACCCTATCATTTCGATACGATCGCCGCTTTGACTCGACCGTCTGATCACTTAGGTTCAATTGATCGTTTCGGTCCGATCACCCTATCCTTTGAGGCACACATTTGCATGCTTGTTTGCATCACATTGCATGTTCAAATTGCTTTTGCATCCATCTGGATGTTGCATTTTGCTTGCCTTGTATGTTTTGCAGCATGTATCATGTTTGGGTGTCTCTTTGAGCACCCTTATTTGTAGAGTCTCTTTGAGCACCTGCACCTACAAGTGTCCCTCGAACATACTTCAAGGTATGCACAGTGATAAACACTTGCATACTTTGTTAGGAGGCGGCTCACATATAAAGCCACTCGTTGCACATTTCAGTTGGATGAGAACACTGTAACCTCAATCCCTACGACACCATCTAGGAATGTCGTAAGTATTTCACGTTGTACTGAGTACAAATTATGCTTTCTAGCCACTGAACGCGTGCTTGACAAAATATGTGTCCATCTAGTTATGTGATTCTAACTTATACGAATCACATGTTTGACACTTAACATCTTGTGTATGCTTGCTTGTTCGCCTTTAGCGCCCGTTGCATTGATTGCATGTTTGTGTGTGCTCATTTAGGTGTCTCTCGGGTATGGAGTAATTCTCTTAACGGTATCCTATACTTGATGCAAACACATTTGTAGCATTTTTGTACTCGTTGCAGGACATCTGGTTTGGGTTCCCGGGGATGGCGTAATTTCTCTTTATAGGTAACATGTACCCAAAATACCTACTTTGTGTGTGTCATGAATGTACATTCTTGCATTCATATTTGCATGATGTGTGAATCACCTTTTGTCGTTCGTTGTGATTATTCATGCTTTGGTTGAATAATCAAAGTGGGTTCCGTCTTGTGCATGTTGTGATTATTCATCCTACTCGTTTGGATGAGTGACCCATTTGTTGGTTGTAATACCTAAACGAGCATTGTTTACGAGTATATTTGAATGAGTAATGCTAGTTTTCATATTATGATTAACTTGTGTATGACTATGCTAAGGTTCCAATGACTCTAAAATATGTTACTTGCATGTTACAAACCCACATTTAATGGTAATATATTTTAAAGTATAAAAATTGATATTTTCTTATATGCATTATCTGCCTTACTTTTAAAACTATTTAACTTAGGCCATATGTGATGCCACTTATTTAAAATGTCATCTTCTCATTGACGTGTTTTAGATCCCTTGGATTCTTAGGATGGAGTTGGTGTTGCGACCCCGTCAAAGTCATACGTCCAGACTTTACCCCTACACTGTGCACACACATAGATGTTGTGATAGGACACTATACTAGATGATGTGCTAGGCTAGGACTAGGGTGATAGGTTGTCTTTTTGATTTCTTGATTATAGTTCTCTATTGGTTTGGTTGCCCTAGCCAGACATCATATTTTGTGTTGCTTAGTGTGTGTAATGGGTGCAAGACTTCTGAACGAGTATGTTAGGGGTGTTTTTTTGGCAGAGTCATGTTCAACAGGGAGGAGCTGTAATGATTTAAAGCTAACATTTTGCTTGCAAGTGCTATTTAGCTCTCCTCTGATTAGGCATGATTTATGTTGCATGTAGATAGCTTTTTGCTAACATGATTTTCGTGCAGGTCGAGTCTTTTTTGGACTTTCTTATGTACTTTTAAAGTCCTATAAGAGTCATGTAGCGGAAAAAAGATACGAGAATGAGTTCTAAGACTTTTTTGGCGTGGAACCACGTGGTAGGGACCATGAGCAGATGCTCGTGTCCCTTATCTTAATTCAACATTCTCTTTAATGTACAACATTTTGGATCAAGTATGTATATGCGGTGCCTGATCACTCTTTTTGCTTTCTGGGATATGATGCCGACCCAACGACACTTGACCTGCTATTATTTATTTGTTTGGCTTGTTTACTTACTTGCTTCTTGCATGTGCTTGCCAGTTTCACTGTTGTTACCTTGTGATTTGTTTGGGAATCTAGCGTTGTAATTTAGGATTTTTAAGGACTAATATTTTAAGCTTTTTACAAAAATCCAAATAAAAGATTAAGATAAAATCAAAATTTAAGATTAAAATTAAAATATTTTAAGATTTTAAAATTTGCACTTTACTTTCTATATGACCTTCAGGCCGGTTTTAAAATGGTTTGTATGCATGACTATATTTCAAGTCATCTTTAATAGGGACTCCACGCTTAGGACATGATAATTGCATCATATTGCATGTCCCAAGGAGAAGTTCCCGTGCTTCTTCAACCTGACTAACCAGCATAAGTTTTATACGTAGGCGGTTGTCTAGTATGACTAGGATGTTAGAGGCTTCCAAGTTTTTTGTTTGGAGTGTTTTCGGCTTTGTAGTTGGACCTCTCTTTTCTCTTCATTCTGGTGACATCTTCACAATTTTTTTGACAAGTATAAGTCCCACCTCTTTGAGCTCTACATTTATAGGTCTAATGACTTGGAGTTTCTTTCTTTTGACCTTTGAGCTACAGAGGTTACTTTGGAAGGTGCAATTCACAGATTGCTGACAAGGAGTCTCTGGTTGTGCTTGGTCGACTACCTTCACGACTAGGTAGACTTAGGGTCTTAATAGCTTGGGATGACGTATTTGTGGTATCCTGACTCGACTATCTTTACCTGATTAAGATTACTCAACCTTTCCCGTTTGTTGAGCCCATTTGAGTCATGTTGTCCTTTGTGACTTAATTGATGTCGTCTTGTAGGCCTCGATTGTAGATAGACCGCCACCCATTTGGATATGGTGATTCACCTTATGCCTTTATGACCCGGTTAGACCTTGGAAGCATAGTGTGGACCCTATGAGTCAACTTGATTATTTAATAGTCCTTGCATGCCGATGAGCCGCTACCAATTAGGATGTGAGAGATTCACTCTCTCTCCCGTGACTTAGCGAGAGCTTTGAATGCATCAAGATAACCATCCTTTTGGTGACTTATTTACTGATTATGATAATGTAAGCAAGAATCTTTTTATCGAGAGTATTCTTAGATATCTCCCAAGATGTAGTTAATCAAAGGGATACGTTCCTTTATGAGTGCTCTTGACCGAGAACAAAAATATTCTTTTTAGTTCTCTAGTTATGGGTGGCTTATGTAAGGATTTTTTTAATAGATACCATGTTTCGAAGTATTTCGATCCAAACTTTTTCGAACATATATTCTCGACCTATTGCACAAGGATTACCTTATACATAAGCCCTTCATATTTTTTTTTAATTTGTTTATCTATGTTCATCGTATATGCATTATTTATGATTCATCTCCTCTTCAGATCATTTATATGATTCGAGGGGGAGATTTAATTATGTGTGATAGAAAAGTACCGCTAAGACTGAAAGGAAAATTTTATAAGATGGTGGTGAGACCTGCAATGCTCTATGGCGCTGAATGTTGGCCTTTAAAAGAGAAGCATAATAAAAAGTTAAGTGTTGCCGAGATGAGAATGATTAGGTGGATGAGTGGCTTTACACTTAGAGACAAAATGCGGAATGAATATATTCGTGATAGGGTTGGTGTAGCTCCTGTGACAGACAAAATTAGAGAAAGTCGTCTTAGATGGTTTGGTCATATTAAACGTCGACCATTAGATGATCCGATTAGGAGAGTAGATGCTTTAAATTCGACTTGTGTTAAGAAAGACAGAGGTAGACCGAGGAAGACTTGGGCTTATTGTTTTAAAAATGATCTTAATTTACTAGAACTAAATGAAAATATGACACTAAATAGGACGCAATGGAGAAAAAGGATTCATGTAGCCGACCCCACATAGTGGGATTAAGGCTTTGTTGTTGTTGTTGTTGTTGTTGTTTAAAAGTTGGCTTGAATATTGAATAAATAAAAAAAATAGCAACAATTTAGCAAATAAATTCGGTCAGGATGGAAGCTGTCGTCTTGGGTTTTTAAAAAATTGAAAACCCCCACCACTATGGCCAACACGACCAATTACAACCTACTTGGTCATAGCTTGTGGAGGTCCTGACTACGGACTCTGCGACCTATAGACATCATCATAGCTAATTACTATGACTTATGCAACCAGGTACAACCTATGTGGTCCACACCTCTTGTAGCTCCTGACCTCGATATCTATGGTCGACAGAAGCCATCCCAACTTACTACTACGACTTACATGAACAACTACATTATACTTGGTCCATAGCTCGTGCAACTTTTTTACTTCAGTTTCTCATCATAGCTTGTGGAGGTCCTGACTACGAACTCTGCGACCTATAGACATCATCACAGCTAACTACTATGACTTATGCAACCAGCTACAACATATGTGGTCCACAACTCTTGCAGCTCCTGACCTCGATATCTGTGGTCGACAGAAGTCATCCCAACTTACTACTACGTTTTACATGAACAACTACATTATACTTTGTCCATAGCTCGTGCAACTTTTTTACTTCAGTTTCTATGGCCAACGAATTTCATCACAACTTACCACTACGACCTATGTCATAAACTATAACCTAATGATTCACAGCTCGTGCAACTTTTAACTTTGGTCCGTGCAACCAATGAACATCATCAGAGCTCAGCACTACGACCTAGGTAGCCCATAACTCATATAGCTCCTGACTCTAACTTCTGCGACATATGAACGTTATCACACATCACAACTACAAACTGTGTAACCAACCATCTCACAGCTCCCAACTTCTTTACTACGACCTCTATAGACAATCGACACGTTTGAAGCAACCACTTGCGGTCCACACAAACAACTAATACCATGGGGTTCAACTACGGCCTATATAATAAGCTAGCGCTACAACCACTAAAACAACATTCACGACAGAATATTACTTCCTTAGCAATCAACCATAACCCTTGCAACATGCTATCACCAATAACTACATTCATTACAACCACTTTGAATATTATCAATGAATTACTATTTATATTTACGATAATTAATTTTGTAACTCTATATTCTTTAATTGGGCAGAGTAAATTTATGAGCTTATTATTCATATTGAATTATTTTAATTCTCTAGAATTTTAGATGCAAAATGTAAAGCAACTGCTTTTTAATTTTTCAAGATAAAATATTTGTGGTGCGTAGGTTCTCCCAGCTTTTCCGGCAACCCAAGCTTCCAGATGTCCCCCAAAGTGTTTCTTTTTTTCTTCCTTCCGACGAATTTAAAAGTCCCATAATCTCTGCAACTCAAGTCGAAGCAACTGAAACTCAATTCAGAACCCGCTCAGCAAATACCAACTGATCTGATATCCATTCCTCCCTCACCATGAACGTCCTTATCAGCGGCGACCATCAGCCGATATCCCATTTCGTAGTGGTTCCGTTAATGGCGCAAGGGCACATGATCCCCATGGTCGACCTCGCCCTTCTTCTCGCTCACCGCGGCTCACTTGTCAGCCTCATCACCACGCCACTCAACGCCCGCCGCCTCCGCGCAATCGCCGACCACGCCACCACCTCCAACCTTCTCTTCCGACTCATCGAGCTCCCCTTCCCCTGCAAATCCGCCGGACTTCCCGACGGCTGCGAGAACCTCGACCTCATCACTACGGTAGACCTCATCCGCCCCTTCTTCAAAGCCCTAGATCTTATGGCCGACCCGCTTAAGAGCTACATCCGCTCCCAACCACCGTCGCCGACCTGCATCATCTCCGACCAGTGCATGCCGTGGACCATGGAAGTCTCCGACGATCTCAACATCCCACGCCTAGTTTTTCACGGGCCCTCCTGCTTCTTCCTGCTCTGCACCCTCAAGCTCGCCGAACACAAGCTCTATGAGAAAGTAACAGATGTTCATGAAATCTTCACGGTGCCGGACCTCCCGCAGAGAATCGAAGTGAACAAACTGATGGCGCAGCGGTTCTTCGACAGGCCGGAGATGAAGGATGTTATGCAACAGGTGGAGGAAGCAGAGGACGCATCAGACGGGCTTGTGCTCAACACCTTTTACAAACTGGAGTCATGGTACATCGAGGAGTACCGCAGGTCGGTTGGGAAGGAGGTTTGGGCTGTCGGGCCGGTGTCGCTCGTGCATAAAGACGCCGGCGGAATGGCGGTGAGAGGCGATGGCTGCGCGGGGATTGATAAAGGTAGCGTTTTTGAATGGCTGGATGGAAGAGAAAAGGGGTCGGTTCTTTTTATCAGCTTCGGCAGCCTCGTGCGTACACGAAAGAAGCAGCTGGTGGAGATTGGGGCGGGGCTGGAGGGGTCTGGTGTTGCGTTTGTGTGGGCGGTGAAGGAGGCGGAGGAGAACGAGGAGGTAAGTAAGTGGCTTTCGGAGTTTGAGGAGAGGAACAGGAACAGGAGCAGGGGGCTTATTGTAAAGGGATGGGTGCCGCAGGTGATGATACTGAAACATCCGGCGGTGGGAGGGTTTATGACGCACTGTGGTTGGAACTCGACGTTAGAAGCGGTGGCTGCGGGTGTGCCGATGGTGACTTGGCCGCACTTTTCGGATCAGTTTCTGAATGAGAAGTTGGTGGTGGAGGTGCTGAGGATGGGGATTGGGGTTGGGGTAAAGCTGCCGTCTTTTTATCAGGCGATGCTAGAGGAGGCTATGGTGGGGAGGGAGAAGGTGGAGATGGCGGTGAGGAGTGTTATGTGCGGAGGGGAGGAAGGAGAGAGGATTAGGAAGAGGGCGGCGGAGCTTGGGGAGGAGGCGAGGATTTCGATGGAGGAAGGAGGGTCTTCTTATGAGAATTTGAGTCAGTTGATTAACTACGCCATGACGCTTGCAGGGAGTCGAGTGCATGGGAGGCATTAACTCTGCGTCAATACATCATCTCCTCTCTCTCTCTCTCTCTCTCTCTTCCTCGTACTACTCTTCAATTTTCGATATTGATTCATCATTTGAGAATGGAAACATCTAAATATAAATTCCAGATTTTGATGAGCTCTTTAATTAACATTAGTTCATAGCTCCGGTGATGTCCTACACGTACACGCGCAAATGTTAGGAATTAGTTGATGCGCTTTAATTGCTCTGTTTCATCTCTGCTCTGCTTCGCCAGGAGGCTATTCTGAGTCTCCACGTTCTCCTAAAAGGCAAAAAACATCTTCGTTTAACATGGCTTACGTTTCATGTTAAATGATAAGCGCTTGAATTATATTTTGTATGTGCTGCGCTGTACTTAATGAGATTTAACACTTTAGAAGAAAAAAAGTATGATAAATAAAGACTCATCGATAGAAGAAGAGGAGACCTACTTATCCATTCGGATGCTAGTATCCAAGCCAAACCCGAAGGCTAATCAAACCAAGATAAGGACAAAAAGGGCAATTAGATTGATCTGAATTCAAGCCAATAAGACTAAAACAAAACATATAAACATCCGAGCCAACCGCTATAAGTAAGCCGATCAAAGGCAGCAAACTACTTTTCGGTAGATCCGACTCGAGGAAAGATCCTATTTCTCAATACCACCTATCATCTTACTAACACCTCTAAGGCTCATCATCAGGAATAAAAAATTAACAATAGAACAATGTCTTATAATTCTCTAACGGGCTCTTCTCTTTGTGGAACGAGCTACCTATTAGATTACGGTGATTGAGCATCTGCCTGATAGTCTGGTCTCGCTACCCTGACTACAACTCCTCATCTAAGGATCAAGGGGCGACAACCAGACTAGATCAACCAATCAACAAAGTCTAGCAATCATAGGATGAGAAGTTGGAGTTGCAAACACGATAGTTGGATAAGGGGGTATGGCTGGTGAGGAGTTTAAGTTCGGTGGTGAAGAAGAACTGAATGTGGCTGTAGGTGATGAGGGGCTAGGCGGGTATGAGAAAGTGGAGTTTTTTTGTGTGGTTGCGGTGGAGCTAATAGAGAGGGAAGTAGAAGAAGTATGACTGGTGTTTGAATGGGTGTTGGTAGAGAAGAGCTTGTTTGATGTTGATTATTTGTAGGGAAGTGGAGTTCATTGAATGCGACATGTCGGGAGATGATGATTTCGTTGGTTGGTGGATGAAATCATTTATAGCCTTTGAAGTTCCCGGGATAGCTGATAAAAATGCATTGCTCGGATCTTTGGTCAAATTTGCTGCAATGTGATGGAGGAAACCAAGGGAAGCAAGCACATCCATATGATCACAAACTTTCATATGCTAGTGAGTGTTTGTAGAAGAGGTTGAAGGGAGAGGTATTTCGAGTGTTGGGAGATGGTATACATTTAATTAAACAAACAATAGTGATTATAATATCTGATCAGAATTTGAGTGGTAAGTTAGATATGACAAATAAAGTTCTTGTCGTTTCAAGTATGTGATGGCGTTTTCTTTCAGCAAGACTGTTTTGTTGTGGTATGTATGGGTAGGAATATTGATGAATTATGCCTTGTGTGGCCAAGAATTCATCAAAGTTTTTATTCTTGTATTCCCTTCCATCGTCAAATTTTAGAATTTTAATATCGGTGTTGAATTGTTTTTCAACTTGATGATGAAGTTTAATGACGTGAGAGTTTCTGATTTGTGGATCATTGGAAACACCCATGTATAATGAGTTTTGCCATCAACAAAAATGTCATAAAACCGATAGCCTTGATTAGATGTTGGGATGACCCTCATAAATCAGCGTGAATAAGTACACAAGGAAGATGCGTATGATTAATAGGAAAAAAAGAATGATAATCTCCGTTGTTTAGCTGTAGCACATGAATTTCAAAAGGGATTAAAATTAGAAATTTGAAGATGAGGATATTGATTAACTATAGCATAGAGTGCATTATTGTTGGGGTGGTCGAGTCAGAGGTACCATATGTCGGCAGTGGTGGTTCGTTAGACAGGGCTTGCTTGCGGATGGAAATGAAAAAGAGTTCCTCACGACAAAGACGTTATAGGAACATTTGTTGGTTTGTGCAATCCTTGATTTGGTAGTCAGAGGCATCAAACACAATGTTAAAATTGTTGTCAGAAGAAGTTGAGGTATATAAATGAGATTGTGGGTAATTTGAGGAGTGTGAAACAATTTAAAGAAAGAAAGCTTATGAGCAGTAGTGGAGAGGAGTCCCTGACTACTATTTTGCATAGAAATGACACTTTCATCGCCAACAAACACCTAATCGTACCCTTGATACGAGTCTGAATGTTGTAGATTCCCGAGATCAACTGTCAAATGGTTTTACGCTCCATAGTCAATGTCTGATTTTTGATTTGAGGTGGGTGAGGTAAAAAGGGTTGCGTGTTTGGCTGAGTGTTTGGACTGGTAGTTGAGATTCAAGCGATGCCAACATTGAGGCACAAGATGAGTGTGTTTGAGAAAGATTTTGCAAATGGTTGCATTGTTGGGTTTGGAGGATTCTTTATTGCCTTCGCTTGGACTCCTGTAGGATTGATTGTTGTGGCCACTTCCCCTGTATTTGTTTCGACAGTGTCCCCTTTGGCAGTATAGTGCCATGTGGCTATTTGTTTGAGTTGCTTGGGTGAAATTGTCATTGGCGATGTTGATCTCTTTATTGTGAAGGAGAGAGTATAAATCTTAGGTTTCTATTTTAAATGCCTGATAAGGTAGAGGTAGCCCTTTAAGGATGTAATGAATGATGTCTTTGGTGTCCACAGTTGATCTGAATGTCACGATGTTGTCCACTAGCCCTTTCATTGGAGTAAGATATTGTGGCATTGTTTGATTTTTCATTACCTTCTTATGGGGTTCGCTCTTCAGCAGGTAGGCTA